TATAAATTAGCAAGTAAGAAAGGACTATTTGATAAAATTGGGTTGAAGACGTAACAATTGATAGAAATAGAGGCAGAGGCACAGATAGTGGTAGATACAGTTATACACATAAATAATTTAAGGAAAATAATACGGTTGTACCCACTCCTCCACTGAGTCCAAAAAATAGAACATTTTCACGGCCTTATCTGCCCCTCTCTGAACACATTTTACTGCACAGAGAGTTTGCTTATCCTGATCATAATGTTATAAACATAATAGTTTTCACTAACAATATGTGCATCCCGGCCGGGCGCGGTGGCTCAAGCCTGTAATCCCAACACTTTGGGAGGCGGAGACGGGCGGATCACGAGGTCGGGAGATCGAGACCATCCTGGCTAACATGGTGAAACCCCGTCTCTACTAAAAAATACAAAAAACTAGCTGGGTGAGGTGGTGGGCGCCTGTAGTCCCAGCTACACGGGAGGCTCAGGCAGGAGAATGGCGTAAACCTGGGAGGCGGAGCTTGCAGTGAGCTGAGATCCGGCCACTGCACTCCAGCCCTGGCGACAGAGCGAGACTCCGTCTCAAAAACAAACAAACAAAAAAACAATATATACATCCCTAAATAATATATTACTTGGTTTTGCTAGTTTTTGAATTTTATATGAATCAAATGATACAGTCTATCTTGTTACTCCTTTTGTTAAACAGTATGGTTTTGAGGCTCATTCATGCTGATGGATATAGGTATACTCATTTCTCTTTTTTTTTTTTTTTTTTTTTGAACCCGAGTCGCTCTGTCACCAAGGCTTGAGTGCAGTGGCGCAATCTCGGCTCGCTGCAACTTCTGCCTCCCAGGCTCAAGCAATTCTCGTGCCTCAGCCTCCCGAGTAGCTGGGATTACAGGCATGTGCCACCACGCCCAGTTAATTTTTGTATTTTTTGTACTTTAGTAGAGACAAGGTTTCACCATGTTGGCTAGGCTGGTTTCAAACTCCCTACCTCAAGTGATCCACTTACCTCAGCCTTCCAAAGTGCTGGAATTACAGGCGTGAGCCACCACACCCAGCCCTCATTTCTTTTTTCCAAAGTATACTAATTTATGAATACATAGCCCACTTATGTATATATTTTATGGTTGATGAATAATGGAGTTGATATCAGTCAATGGCATTTGGGATGGTATGAACAATGTTCTAAACCATCTGGAAGGTATCTCTTGCTATACATGTGCAAGAGCATGCAGGATATCTTAACAGTAGCATGGCAGTGCCACAGAACAAAAGATGCCTATGTTCAGCTTTACTAGGTATGTGAGCCTGCTTTGCAAAGCTATTGTACCAATTCATATTCTCACCAGAAATGACAGTTTCTACTGCTCCCCATCTTTGCAGACACTTTTCTTCATATTTTATTCATTGATTTTGCATATTCATCAAAAGGACAAAAGTAAAACAATATTTTATTCTGAATTAACTTCTATTTCCCTTATAATTAATTGGATTTCACTTTTTTAACAAGTATATGACAAATTTTTGCTTTGTTATCTGAAATTTCTTTCAGAAGAAAGAATTTTAATTTATTAAGGATTTATTTTCTGATTATGCTAATTACATTTTTTTTTTTTCTAAGACAGGACCTCTTATTACCCACAAAGCAAGATTTTCTTTTCTTTCTCCTTTTTTTTTTTTTTTTTTTTTTTGACGGAGTCTCACTCTTTCACCCAGGCTGGAGTGCAGTGTGATCTTGCCTCGGGGCAACTTCCACCTCCCAGGTTCAAGTGATTTTCCTGCCTCAGGCTCCCAAGTAGCTGGGATTATAGGCATGTGCCACCACGTATGGCTAATTTTTGTATTTTCAGTAGAGATGAGGTTTCATCATATTGGCCAGGCTGGTCTTCAATTCGTGACCTCTGGTGATCTGCCCACCTCAGCCTCCCAAAGTGCTGGGATTACAGGCATAAGCCACCATGCACCGCTAAAGCAAGATTTTCTTTTTCTTTTATTTATTTATTTATTTATTTATTTATTTATTTTGAGACGGAGTCTGGCTCTGTTGCCCAGGCTGGAGTGCAGTGGCAAGATCTCAGCTCACTGCAAGCTCTGCCTCCCGGGTTCCCGCCATTCTCCTGCCTTAGACTCTCGACTAGCTGGGACCACAGGCACCCGCCCGGCTAATTTTTGGTATTTTTAGTAAAGACGGGGTTTCACCGTGTTAGCCAGGATGGTCTCGATCTTCTGACCTCGCGATCTGCCTGCCTTGGTCCCAAAGTGCTGAGATTAAAGGGGTAAGCCACTGCGCCCGGCCAAAGCAAGATTTTCTGTTAATATAGCCTATTTAACTACCAACTTTCCCAAAACTTCACGTTTACAGTTTCTACCAGAAACTATTGTTACTTAAATTCAGAATCAGTAATATTTACTGACGAATTGTTTTTCTCCATTTTCCTTTGAAGTAGAATGAGAGAAATGGAATACAAATAGAGTAGGAGAGATAAGAGCCGTCAAATTATAAAATTTATAATATTTTAGCCAGGTGCAGTGGCTCACGCCTGTAATCCCAGCACTTTGGGAGGCCGAGACGGGCGGATCACGAGGTCAGGAGATCGAGACCGTCCTGGCTAACATGGTGAAACCCCATCTCTACTAAAAATATTTAAAAATTAGCCAGGCGTGGTGGCAGTGCCATTAGTCCCAGCTACTCGGGAGGCTGATGGAGGAGAATGGCGTGAACCCGGGAGGCGGAGTTTGCAGTGAGCGGAGATGGTACCACTGCACTCCAGCCTGGGCCACAGAGCAAGACTCCATCTCAAAAAAAATAAATAAAAAATAGAAATAACTTATAACTTCTGTCAACTGACTTGAGAGCAATTCCATCTTACATTTCTGAAAGATGCAGAGAAATTTATAAACTATGGTCCTATTTTTGTAAGCTATAGGAAGAAAAATCTACATATATGTATATATATATAGATACGATTTTAAGAGCATGAAGAAAGATATAGATGGATACAGTCACTCTGCTAGCAACTTTACCTGGGAAGAGGAGAAGCAGGCAGTATCATTGGAGAAAAGAGAGGAAAGAAAAGGTTAAAAGGAAAAAAACTATTATTTCAAGTCAGGACAATTTTTATAAAGTTACATGTGTGTTTGAAAAGGGTAAACATGGTGGGTACGATGGCATGCCTGTAATACCAGCACTCTGGGAGGCTGAGGTGGGTGGATCACGAGGTCAGGAGACAGAGACCATCCTGGCTATCACAGCAAAACCCCTAGCTATACTAAAAAATATAAAAAATTAGCCGGGCTTGGTGGCAGGCACCTGGAGTCCCAGCTACTTGGGAGGCTGAGGCAGGAGAATGGTGTGAACCCAGGAGGCAGAACTTGCAGTGAGCCGAGGTTGCACCACTGCACCCCAGCCTAGGCGACAGAAAGAGACTCTGTCTCAAAATAAGAAAAAAAGGGAAAAAGAAAAGTGTAAACATTTATCTCTATATAAATTTATTTGATTAAACTTGGTGGGCTGGGTGCAGTGGCTCATGTCTGTGATTTCAGCACTTTGAGAGGCCAAGGTGGGTAAATCGCTTCAGTTCAGGAGTTTGAGACCAGCCTGGGCAACATGGTGAAACCCGATTTCTACCAAAAATGCAAAAATTATCCAGGCATGGTGGTGTGCGCTTGTGGTCCCAGCTACTTGGGAGGCTGAGTTGGGAGGATCGCTGGAGTCTGGGAAGTTGAGGCTTCAGTGAGATCACAACACTGCACTCCAGCCTGAGTGGTAGAACAATAGTAATAAATAAAATAAAATAGTAATAAACAGTAATAATAATAGTAACTTGTTGATCGTGGTACTAGATCTTCATGTTTCTTACTTGATTTTTGACTACTTGTTCTGTAGATTTCTAAAGGTAAAGTTTCCCACAAAGCCATGGATTTGTTTTCTCCTTATAATTCTCAGTTTTTGTATTATATATTTCAATCCTATGTTACTAGATACACACAAGCATAAGGCTAAACTTATTAGTAGATTGAGTATTTTATCCCTACGAAACATTATTTTTTGTCTTTTTGAGTAACAATGATTATTTTTGCCTTAAAATACGTTTTGTCGAATGGTAAGATTGCTTGTACCACTTGCTTTCCTTTTCCTGGCGTTTTCCCAACTACCTTTTCCATCTCTTTACTTTCAATCTCTCTGTATTACTCTGTTTTGCTGTCTCTTATACAACAACACATGGTTCAGCTCTTTTTAAACTCAATTCAAAAGTCTCTGTCAGCATCGAATTTGATATAGTCATATTTATTATGGTTACTGATGTATTTGCACATTTTCTACCAATTTACCTTGTGCTTTCTTTTTTCTTTTTTTCTTTTTTTTTTTTTTTTTTTTGAGAGAGAGTCTTGCTCTGTCTCCGCCTCCTGGATGCAAGCAATTCTCCTGCCTCAGCCTCCTGAGTAGCTGGGACTATAGGCGTCCGCCACCATGCCCGGCTAATTTTTGTATTTTTATTAGAGACGGGATTTCACCATATTGGCCAGGCTGGTCTCGAGCTCCTGACCTTGTGAGCCGCCTGCCTCTGCCTCCCAAAGTGTTAGGATTACAGGAGTGAGCCACCGGGCCCGGCTGTGCTTTCTATTTTATATGCTGTTTTTGTGTTTCTTTTTCATCCCCGATCTTCGGTTAGCTGCTGGCATTTTACCTGTTCCCAACTAATTTTTCTTCTAATGACTTGAAAAGTATATGTTTACTCCCTGTATCTTTATATTTTTATACACATAGCTACGCATAGTATTAATTGACATCCAGAGCTAATCGTGTAGATCAAATGGGACTCCTAGCATGCTTTGACTTCTCTCTCCTACCTCCTTTCCAGACTTCGTAACTTTCCATCCTGAGTTATCTCAGATTTTAGTTTATTATTATAGGTTTATTCTTATAATTTATTTAGACTTAAAAGTAAACCTTACTGATTCTCTTGCTCACCTGTGCTTCTTATATCCCTTTTTTCCCCCCAGATTTATTTTCTTTTTGAATATATTTTCTACACCGTGGTTTCTCAACCAGAGGTGATACAGCACTATCTCCAAATGTGGGGCTGTTGTGTATTGTCACGGGGAGAAGAAATGCTACCAGCATTTACTGGATGATGATCAAGGACACTATGCAACCTGCAATGTGTGGATCGGTCTTACACAATGAAGAACTGTCCCACCCCAAATGCCAATGGTACCCTGTTGAGAAAGGTTAGCCTATGTGGACAGTGAATTATAAACTTTTTGTATCTGTTTTTGTGTCTTAAAAATGTCTTTATGATGCCCTCTTATTCACTTGCATCTTGGCTGGTTAAAGAATGTTAAAAGAAAATTTCAAATTAAATGGAGTTTAATTGAGCAAGAAAAATTACAATTCATAAGTTGGGCAGGCTCCAGAACCACAGCAGATTCAGAGAGACTTCAGGGGATGCCTCACGGTCAGAACAAACGTAGAGACAAAAAAAAGGAAAGTGATATGCAGAAATTGAAAGTGAGGTAAAGAAACAGCTGGATTGGTTACAGGTTGACATTTGCCTTATTTGAACACAGTTTGAACGCTCAGCAGTGTATGAGTGATTGAAGTATGGCTGCTAGGATTGGCCAAGACTCAGCTGCTGTTGCAGATGTGTACTCCTAAGCTAGGTTTTCAATCTTGTCTATTAAGTTAGGTTATGGTTAGTCCACAAGGACTCAAATACAGAAGCACAGAGTCCTTCTCAGGCCATATTTAGTTCACTTTAACAAGAATCATAAATCCACAAGTATTTTCACCAGAAAACTCTAAAGATAGCTGTTTTCTTACCATGTTGCAAATGTAGAATCTGGTATCGATCTTATTCTTATTCCACCCCACACAATTTTTTTTCACTCTGAAAACATTCACAGCTTCCTCGTTATCCTTAGTGCCCTGAAATTTCATCACAACTTACTTACAAGTCAGTCTTTTTACATTCTTCCTGTAGATATTCACTGGTTCCTCTCAATATCAGTATTTTCAATTTCTAAGAAATTGTCTTAAATTTTTGCCTTGTTTTAGGTACTCTCCTTCCTTAATTTTCTTCTCTCCTCTAATTCATATTAAGCAGATAGTGGAACTTTTACATCTGTCATTCATGTCTCATAACATTTTGTTCATTCTTTCCATCTATTTATTGTTTTGCACTGCATTCTGGGAGAATTACTTACCATGATATTCTGGTTCACTGATTTACTCTTCAATCCATTTTGCTATTCAACCCATCTATTGAGATTTTTATTTCAAGAATAACATTTTTTAATTTCTAAAACCTCTATGCATTTTTTATTTTTTTAATAAATGAAAGCAGTAAGCTCTGTCATTTGTCCAAGCTATATAATGATACTTAGTCCATGGTCTTGTTCTTTTTTTTAATTGAGACAGAGTCTCGCTCTGTCACCCAGGCTGGAGTGCAGTGGCGCCATCTCAGCTCACTGCAAGCTCCGCCTCCCGGGTTCACACCATTCTCCTGCCTCAGCCTCCTGAGTAGCTGGGACTAATGGCGCCCGCCACCTCGCCTGGCTAATTTTTAAATATTTTTAGTAGAGACGGGGTTTCATTGTGTTAGCCAGGATGGTCCTGATCTCCTGACCTCGGGATCCACCCACCTCGGCCTCCCGAAGTGCTGGTATTACAGGCGTGAGCCACCGTGCCTGGCCTGCACACTCATTTCTTAACTGTACATGGATTCTCCTTCATCACACAACATCCAGATCTGTGGAACTGAACCAAACCTAGAAAATGGGCAATAGGCTTCCACTGTCAGACACATATTTGCCAGATTCAGAGATTCTATTTTCACTTTTAAAAATTTGAATAGACAAGACTTTGAGAGTTGACAAAGTCACCTTGACTTGTCATTCTCTGTCCCTCCCTATTAAGTACAATGATAAATACTAGGAATAGTAAAAGGAACAGCAGAATTCTGAAAGGTGGTAAGAGGAAGGTGAATTGGTCAGGGCCTTGGTTCTGGAGGAACAAAATACAACCCCCATCCAACAAGAGAGGTGATCCAGGCTCAGCAATTCCCAACTCCCAATGTAGTAATAGAAGGTGGCTCAAGTAGGCTCATTCTTCTGCAACAAATGAGAATTCTGCCAGAAACAGCAGGCAAGCCGAGGAGAACCAGCAATGGAGATGGGCTGATTAGAAGCCCTGTTAACAGTAAGCTGCAGAAAGCTCTACTTTTTCACCAAGTGTGAGACACCATTTTCTCTACCTCTGTACTCCTCTTCTTCCACTCCTGTTCCCAAGCACTTGGTTGAGGGCACTAGCAAGTGGAATTGCCAAAATTCAACTCTCTAGTTCTTTCCCACAAAGAACGCGACTCACTTCCTTCACCAGAGACACTGCACAGCCAAGGGCACAGGGAAGGCGATTCACACTGCAATGTGCATTTGGCCAGGGAAGCACTGCCCCTGTAGGATGGAGACTCCCTTCATTCACTTAGAGATACAGACAACTGATCCTGGAGAAGCTCCATCAGGAACCAGTAGGAGCCCCAGTGGAATGATATTTTTTTAAAAAGCAAATGGCTCTGCGAAACTGAAAATTAAATTATCATAGGAGTCAAATCCTTCAAATTAGGTCCAGACTGGCATGCTGAATCCAAAAAGGTGAATGCTTACTAAAATTAAACAAAATGTAAATAGAACCCAGATTTTCTAACATAATATAAAAAATGTGCAAGACACAGGGAAATGGGAATTGAAATGACAAAAGGCAATCAACTGATGTTAACAGTGAAATAAATCACATGTTGGAATTATCTGACATTTCAAAGCAACCAGCATAAATATGGTTCAACAAGTAATAAAAAAATTATCTTAAATGAAAAAATGGAATATCCTAGCAAAGAAATAGGAGTTATAAAAAAGAAACAAAATTCATTCATGAAACAGATAAATGTGATAACAGAAATTAAAAGCTTGCTAGGTGGGCTCAGTAAGAGAGGGTGGAAGGCAGGAGATATGATCAGTGAACTTGAAAATGCATAGAATTTTCATAATCTGAAAAACGGAGGAAATAGACTGAAAATAATGAACAGAACTTCACAGACCAATAACAAAAGATCCAACATTAATATTATCAGAGTTGGGGAAGAAGAGGAGAAAGTGAGTGGGGCTGAAAGAGTATTTGAAGAAATAATGGGTAAACATTTCCCAAATTTGGTAAAAGAAATACACTCAGATTCAAGAAGTTTAATATATCCCAAATAGTATGAACCCAAAGAAATACACACCAGGACACATCATACTAAACTTCGGAAAAGATAGAAAGAAAATATTGAAAGCAGGCACAGAAACATGACTTGTTATCTTTAGGGGCACATCAACTGGAATGACAGTGAATTTCTTATCTAAAGCCATGGGGGCAAGTAGGAAGTGGCACAATACTTTTCAAGTGCCAAAAGAAAAGAACTGTAACTATTGAGCTACACAAACGTTGATGAATTTAAAAGATGTCATGCTGGATTAAAGGATGTGATGTTTGAAGTTATACCTTAAGTTGACTTGGTAGATAGCTGGTAAAACATTTTTCCTAAGTGTGTTTGTGAAGGTATTTTTGGAAAATATTATTAGTATTTGTTTGTAGTATTTGTTTGGTTTTTGAAGTGTGCAATTTCTTTAATTTTTTCAGATTAGTATTTGATTCAATAGACAAACAAGATCTGCCCTCACAAATGTGGGCAGCCCTGCTAGTTCATGGAGGGCCTAAATAGAACAAAAAGGGCAGAGAAAGTGCAAATTCTCTTTCTCCTTGAGCTGGGACATACTTCTCCTGCCCTTTGACATCAGATCTCCTGGTACTCAGGTCTTTGAACTCAGACTGGTAGTTTCACCATTCACTCTGTTGGTTCTCAGGCCTTTGGACTCAGACTGAATTGTGCCACCAGTTTTCATAGGTCTGCAGGTTACAGATGGCGTACTGTGGGATTTCTTGGCCTTCATAATTATGTAAGCCAGTTCTGACTCTAGATCTCCTCTTATCTCTGTATCTATCCACAGAGATAGAGAATCTATTATTTATCTACAGAGATAAGAGTGATAGGGACAGGTGACAGGGAAACACGGGGTAGAAGAGGTGGTTCCCTGTCAATAGTCCCACCCTCAAGCCAGGAAACCTGCAGCCCTAAATGGGAACAGGCACTCCTGTTTTTGCACCCAAATGTTGCCTTTTGGCCCACTGTGCTCCCCTATCCTGAACCCTTATAAAAGCCAAGCCCCAGGCTCCACAAGCAGAAGAGGAGAAGGTCAGAAGAGCAGGGTGGCAGAGAAGGAGAGAAGAGAAGGAACGTCTGAACATCGAGAGGTGGTTGGCTGCGGATGGTTGGAGATTGGCAATGGGACAGCCAAACACCAGAGGAAGATCATCTTCCCACTGCAACTCCTCTCCAGCTCTCCATCCACCCCGCTGAGAGCCACTTCTGTCCGGCAATAAAATCCCCCACATTTACCATCCTTCAGTTTTTGCATGTGACCTGATTCTTCCTGGATGCCAGACAAGGACCTTGGTGCCAAGAGGGCACTGAGCTGGTTAACACTTCAGCGGTCTGCAGATGGCAGAGCTAAAAGAGTACTGTAATATGTCCACTGGGGCTTTGGGAGTTGCAGGCACCCACCCATAGATGCTAATGTGGGGCCAGAGTCCAAAAGTGCTTGCCCCAGCTCCTGCACCTGCCTGTCTGTGTGCTCCCCCTCCCATGAGGGGTTTGAGCACAAGGCAGCAGCACAGATGAGCGACACCCACAATCATCCTATGTAGGGGATCAGGGAACTCTCCAGTTTCAAGAGGAGATACGAGATATAGAAAGGTAGCTAGCTAGCTGCATACCTATCTACCTACCTACCTACCTATGTCAGATTGATTCTATTTTTCTGGAGAATCCTGAATAATGTAGATTTTTGCCCCAAGAGTGTATATAGAAGAACAGAATTTTAAGGATAAATTTTGTGAATTGGTTTTGATGTTTCCGGAATTGTTTCTCTAATATGATTAACCTTGGAAATACTAATGACTTTACTTTCAGTAGTAAGATATTACTGATAGTCCATGACATGAATTTTTTTCATTGAGATATCCAGAATACCTGCATTGGATAGTTTTAGGCCCCTGTGCTTCCTCCAGGTCCCTGCCCTCCCAAATGGAGCCACTATTCTAATTTTTAATGCTATAGATTAGTTTCACCTGGTTT